GTGAGCCCAGGACAGCCGTGAGCCCAGGACAGCCATGAGACCAGGACAGCCGTGATCCCAGGACAGCCGTGAGCCCAGGACAGCCGTGAGCCCAGGACAGCCATGAGCCCAGGACAGCCGTGAGCCCAGGACAGCCGTGAGCCCAGGACAGCCGCGATCCCAGGACAGCCGCGAGCCCAAGGCAGCAGTGAGCCCAGGACAGCCGCAAGCCCAGGACAGCCGTGAGCCCAGGACAGCAGTGAGCCCAGGACAGCTGCAAGCCCAGGACAGCAGTGAGACCAGGACAGCCACGAGCCCAGGACAGCAGTGAGCCCAGGACAGCCGCAAGCCCAGGACAGCAGTGAGACCAGGACAGCCACGAGCCCAGGACAGCCGCAAGCCCAGGACAGCAGTGAGCCCACATGTACTCTTCTTTGCTTATGGCTACTATAGAATATTCTGCAGCACTCTGCGGTGGGCTGCCACCTGCACTCTGAACACGCAGGCCTGGCTGAGGCCTGGGAAGCTGACCTTCAGAGAGGCCACTCTTGCCTCCTGCCACAGGAGGGCATTACAAGCTTTGGGACCGCACACAGAACGGGTCACCCTGAGCAGCACCCAGGTGGCAGGGCCCATCCTTGGACCTCATGACCCCAGCATCCGCTTGCCTGTGCTGTGCTCTCCCATGGCGCAAGGCCTTGGAGCCAGCACCTGCAGATGGAGGTTCAATCACAACAAATCCAATCTTTGGTCTGGAGCTGTGACAAGGAGGAGAGCTGAAGACCCTGCCTCCCACCCGGCCTGCATGCCTCATAGTCTGGTGCCCCTCTCAGCCCACCCAGAGTGTGATGGGCTGTTATGGAGTCTCCCCAAGCCCAGGGGGCCATGGGCGGCATGTAAATTGGAAATAGAAGACAAAGGAGGAGGACCAAAACAGCTGACAAGTGACTATATAATACTCACTGTTCTTCAAGACCCTCCAGACAGCAATGGGGGCAGATATCCTAGCCGGCCACCCACCTGCACCGCCAGCCCCCCACCTCTTCAGCCCCTCACCTGTTCCACTGGCCCCCCACCTGTACCGATGGCCTCCCACCTGTACCAATGGCCTCCCACCTGCACTGCCAGCCCCACCTGCACTGCCAGCCTCTACCTATACTGCCGGCCCCCCACCTGCTCAGCCAGCCTCCCACCTGCACCGCTGGCCCCCCACCTGCACCACCAGCCCCCCACCTGCACCGCGGGCCTACACCTGTATCACCAGCCCCCACCTGCTCAGCCGGCCCCCCCACCTGCACCGCGGGCCTACACCTGCATCACCAGCCCCCACCTGCACCGCCGGCCCCCACCTGCACCGAGGACCTCTCTGCAACTTGAAAAGTGAGCAGCATGGAGCTGTGCAGCCTCCCACATCCAGCAAGGCAAGTCTGAAAACCCCAAACGTTTGTGACAAGCTTGGGGAAAGTCCACAAGGCATCCGGCACTGGGGAGGGGCCCACGCTGGGCAAGTCTCCAGTCACCCGAGCTGCTAGTTGAACTCCAACAGAAATCTCTTTTGCTTAAAATGTCCCAACTGATAGCAAGACAGTAGTCAGATGGCTTCAGGCCTCTCTTGATCATAATGAAGTTCAATGAAACAATATAACAATTTGTATCAAACTTTAAAAGAGAAAGCTTGATACAGGAAACTAGCACTGTGAATGTAGCTTTCCTATGCAGTTTGGAGGCCACTCTCAGGTAAGCAAAGGCTTAGAAAATATTGTATTCATATACCAAGAGTTGTGCAAAATCTCTTCTAAAAACAAAACTGATGAACTCATGACACAAAACAGTAGGAAACATGAAACAATTCACCAGCACAGTCTAATAGACTTGTAAATAATATGCAAATGAGAAGTTCTTAAAAGATAGAATTTCAATACTTAACAACAATCTGTGTCTAATCTCACATAATATCAACAAAGCCAGAAAGTAGGTGGGAGGAAGTAAAAGCATATTAACTCATTTTAAGATCTATACTGTTTTATTCTTGGCATTAAACCGGTACTTGTCTAATTATCATTTTTATTGAATTTTTAATACACAAAAATTGCAACTAATTGAATTAGAAGAAACAAACCTTCTTAACCAGTAAGAGAAAGAAAGGTAGCAACAAAAGACCAACACAGTAACACAAAAAGAACACAGTGTCTACATAGGAGAAGGAAAATGATGGAAAAGACAGGAAAGAAAAAAGGGGAAAACCCCCCAAAAC